ATTCACTTCCAAAGGAACGTTGGAAACAAATATGCTGTTGCTATTGCAGCTTTGAGTAGCCAAAATCCGGGTGCCATCACCATTGCAAATGCAGTATTTGGTTCTAACCCAGATATCCCTAGAGACATTCTTGCAAAGGCTTTTCAAGTGGACAAGAACATTGTTTATCAAATTCAATCAAAATTCTAGACCCTCACGTGATCTAATATCGGTTTTATTAACTTATAATTTTCAATTTCTTAATACTGGTTTATTATTGTTGTTATATTTAAAATGAATAAAAGAAATTTACATTATATTTAGTGTCATTGTTAAACTACTGCTGATCATATGTAAGATCCAAACTCAAAACAATGGTATAGTTAATCAAGCATCCAATGATCCAACATTCAAAATGCATGTTCTAAATATCCTTCGATATCTCCATCAACACTGACCCGACTTAACTTTTTTTATCAAAAAAGTTACACACAGTAGAACAACTATTCATCACACTTAGGGACAAAAAAGTCTTTAACAAATTACGTTTTACAGAACCAAAAAGTTCAGAAAATTCCTATGAGAAATCATATTCTATGAACATGCTACGTCATTGATCATAATGATTGCTTTTACTTATATAAAAGATTTGTATTTATTTAGACTGCTTAAAACGATTCAGAACACTTTTAATCCATTTGCCCATCCAGTCTTTTAAAACTAAATTCATTCGGTAATAAGAAATAAACCCATTATTATAAACCATTATTATTTGGATAAAATCTCAATCGATTCTATATAGAACCTGTTTTTAAAGACTAGAAGGGTATTCGCATAATGCAGCGAGATATATCTCGATTTTAGTGTTTTGTTTTATTTTTTTTGGTATCCATCAATATTATAATATGGATTTATGTGGTTTTAAGCAAGCAATAATGATTTTTAAAAAAATATAAATTTGAAGATGTCATTAATATAAAAAATATATATAAAAGTTCTCATTTTTTATGTAATTTCTTTAATTCAATTTTTTTATTATAATTTAATTTAGGTTTAGGGACGAAGTAATTATGTTAGAACTTAATAATTATTCTAATTGTATTTTAGATATATTTAAAACGAGAATTTTGTCCTCTATTTGATTATTTTTATCTATAATTAATTACACAAATTCATATATGGAGCTTAATAAGTTGTACTTATGCAAAATTTACTTGTAATCTTGAATTTTAAGTAATATGCATTAATAAGCAGTACTTCATGTATAAAAGATGGTTTTTAAGAGTTTTTGTCAAATGCTTTATAATATAGTATATATATTAATGTGAGGATGCATCTTTTTACTCACTTAATGACTAAGGCTAGTAGCTAACGGGTTTGAGATCAAACCCATGACCTATCTTGTATTTGCAAAAAGTCACCACACTTACCAACTGAGATATAGAAGAAGTTTACTTTACAAATCACGTTATTTGTACAAATCGTACCAACCTCATTCATCAATCATAATTTTTCATTTTGTTCATTTTTTTTTTGTAATTATGAGATGTTGATTAACTATTTTTATTGTGAAGGGTGTTAATCATAGATATTATCATCTTCATTATTTTAATTTTAGAGAAATACATGAAAAAATTTCATTAAGTATTATATGAAACAACTTCATAAAAAAAATATTATATAAAACAATTTCACAAGATTAAACAGTTTCATGAAAAAAATTCATAAGATTAAACAATGAAATCGACGGATAAAGATGGTTTGCACGATTTGTACAAATTAAGTGGTTTGTATTTAATCGCTCCTCCTAAGATATATACCAAAGGCAATCAAACCATTTTTATCTTCTAGTTTCAATTTTATATATTAATATATATTCTTTAATTTTCTCAATCAATAGAATTACAAAAAGTCAAAGTCAAAGTTTGCATGAAATGTCTCATTCTAGTTTTCTAAATTAACTAAAGTGTAATGGATTAATAGTTATATTAATTTTAATTAATTACGTAAAAGAGTTTTCACCAAATTACTATTGTTTGAAATGGTAAAAATCTCATTGACATGATTTACATAATTAATCATGATTTTAGGGCTGTTTGGCAGTTGCTGAATGATTTGATGCAGAATGATTAAGTGTTCAGAATGATTAAGAGGCTCTCATGATATAATGCATAATAAAATATAATTGTTCAATAATTGTTTACAATGGAATTAGGGCTCAAGATACAAAATCATTCAGAGAATTTTAGAAAAATTAAGTGGCAGACCTTTTTTTGTCAAACAAGATTCACCTTTTAACAATTTAGAGGTTGCCTCTTAATGAAACTATTTTTTTGGTATATAGTAGTAGAAAAAAGGAGTAAATAAAAGAGAAATATTTTAGTATCTAACATAACCCAATTTTTTTTCCATATTATATTAAGGGTCTAAACATGTATTAATTAATTACATTGAAAAAACATATGTAAAAAATTTATTTTTAACCTAAATGTTCAAAACGATAATGAAAAACATTAACCTGAGGTGAGATAGAAACCCGATTGATTTATATTAACTTACATAGAGTGTTATTTCGAATAGTCAACATTGCAACCCCAAATGATGTTAATCTATATATTAAAGGTATATTAACCACAAAGGTGGTGCCTGATTGGTTTGAGCTTGACTCCAAAGGTCAAAAGTACCTGGAGGTCCCAGGTTCAAATCCAAGGAGGAATAAAAATCCTCTTGTGGCAAGGAGGTTCAAATGCGGTGATTCTGGGCTATCTGTAAAGCAGATGGTTGTCCTGGGATTAGTCGGCTCGCATAACGGGTTGGATATCCAGCTTAATAAAAAAAGGTATATCATAAAATGTTTTTAAGGGTGAAAAAGATTGAATTATGCATGGAGTACTCTATATTGATGCATATTACTTAAAATTCAAGATTATAAGTAAATTATGCATACGTATAACTTATTAAAGCTTCATATTTGAATTCGTGTAACTAACTACGAATAAACATAATCAAATAGATGATAAACATCTCATTTTAAAATATAAAAAATCTAAAATATAATTAGAATAACTATCGAGTTCTAACAAAATGATTAACTATATATTATCTTTATAAATAATTATATTATTAAACCAAATATAAATTACATTGTTATTGAACTTCAATTAAATTATAATTAAAAAATTACACAAAAAATGAAGAATTTTAAATAGTTAATTTGATACTAATATCGATATAATTTTGTCAAATATTTATGATATCTTCAAATTTAGATTTTATTCAAAAATAAAAATATCATCATTTTTTCAAAATCACATAAAAACATATTATAACATTGATTGAGATAAAAAAATGAAATATTAAGATCAAGATGTATCTCGCTGCATTGCACGAGTACCCTTCTAGTTATCTAAAAATGATATGGTAGATAATATTAGTTTATAAAAAATTAATAAAAAAGTTCGTATCTAAAAATACTCGGAAAACCGGTTTTGTATAAATTATTAATTACATTATTTCTAATGATAAAAAAGATATATTAAAAATCTTTTCCGTATGTATCGAGGGCCCTTATTGAACATCTTGCCCGTTACCTAACAAATGTCAGAAACGGACCTGTTTTGAAAAACAATTATAGGTTATGTGAAATGTAATTTTTATACAATAAAGTTTTTATACGTAACTTTTGTTTACAGTGTGTCGTTTAAAAGTAGGTTGTAATTTATCCGTTTCAAAGTTATCATACATACTTTTCTTTTACGAAACGAGTCGAATTTATCATACCCGCATTAGCTTTTCGTCTTTTTTTCCAATTTAGAACTGAACTAAGTTGGAATGTATCAAATGTTGACATATTTGATAAGTTTATAGTTGTGTTATTCAATCCAAATGTTCTTTTATCATTATTTTATGGCAAGACGTCATTTACGGGGTTTTTTGTAATGTTACGTTATTTTCACTATAAAAACATCACGGAGTTCCATATCTTATCTCACACATTTCTCGAGCAACCGAAGTTAATCAAAGAACTGGTTTCGACTCATCAACGATGACATCTCGTTTGCTTTTATTCGTTCTCCTCGTGGCAAGTTGTTCGCTTGCGATGGCTGCAGACCCAAGTCCTCTCCAGGATTTTTGTGTTGCTGATCCAAATGAACATTGTAAAAAACGATCTTGAAATGTTGAAATGATTTTGAATATTTGTAGTATTTGTATGTGCTTATGAGTTTTCTGCTTTTGTTTTCACAGTGTTCGTCAATGGTGAGTTCTGCAAAGATCCGGCTCTTGTGGTAGCAGATGATTTCTTTTTCAGTGGACTGGACGTTATGGGAGATACAAATAATGCAGTTGGGTCTAACGTGACCGCTGTGACTGTAGTACAGTTACCAGGACTCAACACTCTTGGAATTTCATTGGCTCGCATTGACTTTGCTCCGGGGGGTATTAACCCTCCCCACACACACCCTAGGGCCAGTGAAATCTTGACGGTCATAGAAGGCACTCTTGAAGTTGGTTTTGTCACATCTAACCCTGAAAACCGTCTTATCGCTAGAAAGCTTCAAAGGGGTGATGTTTTCGTCTTCCCACAAGGTCTGATTCACTTCCAAAGCAACATCGGAGATTGTAATGCCGTTGCTATTGCAGGTTTGGGCAGCCAAAACCCAGGTGTCATTACCATTGCGAATGCAGTGTTCGGCTCTAACCCCGATATCGATGAGAATATTCTTGCAAGGGCTTTCCAGGTGGGCGTGGACGTTGTTCGTCAAATTCAAGCAAACTTCTAGACCCTCACGTGAGCCGATGTCGGTTTTATTAACTTATAATTCTCGGTTTCTTGATATAAACCTGTTTGTCTTAATCTTGTTACATCTAAAGTGAAAATCTAAAAGAAACTTATATTATATTAAGCGTTATTTACATTTTCGTTATTAAATTACTTCCGATCATATGTTAAATTTGAAATAAAATTATGGGTTTTTAATAAGAAAATAAATCGTAAAGAAGCTTTAATAAATAAGTTGACGAAAACGAACAAAATGACAAACTACTTTGGTCGGTTTTCAACGTTTAATAAAATTTTCAATAACGGTAATATGAAAACGGACAACCGGATAAGCGAATTTCATTCGGCTGTCGTAGCATTATTTTCTACGAATCGTTAATTGGCATTGAATTGTCTTCGTATCACCAAATAACGTTGACATGGTGTTCATGTCGCTGTATTATTTTTAGAATACAATACTATTTCTGATCCATGTGGTACTTACATAGACGATCTAACTATTGTTCTATGTGAGGGGCAAATTCGTCATATTACTGAGGTTCGTTCAATTGACAATAATGTTTGGGACTTTGAGTTTCTCCTTTGAGGGCACTGAGATTTTTTCGACTGTTCTCAAAACCCTAAGATTAGTTGAAGTATGCATCAGTTGGTCCGGATATCCATAGTTAAAAAAAAATCCGTCCTTTTACATCTTTTTCTCTTTTTAGAAAGTTTAAAATATTTAAAAAGTCAATATGCATAAAGTAATATTTAATAAAAAATGTTATTACTAAATATGGAAAAAGAGCATCCTCGGAGAAAAGTGAAGCATCCATCAGTATGCCAAATTAAAGCGACTTCTACGTCTTCAACAACATTCGTGTTGGCATCAATTTTATCATGTAAGAGCGAGATAAGGATCAAAAGTCTTACTCGGTAAGTGAGGGTGAAGACTCTTACCATATTTAGCGCTTACCGGGTAAATTATTGCATATGATGCCGTTTTTGTTGACTATAATCTTACCCGATAAGTAAATGATAGTGTTGAATTTTACCGGTAATCGCTTACCGGGTAAGTTTATGGTAAACTTATAGAATTATATGTGATATGGGTATTCTCGTATTTTCGTAAGATCAATGGTTATGTTCTCGTCTGAACTCACTCCTCTATGTGTGTGTACACACACGCACATAGACAAAGGATCATGTGAGAATATGAGTTAAAGGTGAGAAGTGTAATAAGAGATTTGAATCATTGATCACTTTTAATTTCAAACCAACTCATGAATTGAGTTTTGAAGGGAATTGATTCGGTGCTTCTCATTAGTGTTGATCTAGTGGAACTCTTCAATTAGGATTAATTCAAAAGTGGAGATCCTTTCTTACCCTTCTTGCCATAACTTTCGTCCTCACGGAACTCAACTCTATATAGAAAGAGAGATGAAGGATCATGCGAGAATTTAAACAATTTGCAAGAAGACGAGAAATCTCAATATCATATATGATTACACTCTTTTGGGTATGTTTAATCATGTATGATAAGCGCAATTCAACATGTGTTTAATCAGATATGATTAAACATGCATATCATGCATGTAATCATATATTGTTTAATCACATATGATATTGAAATTTATCGTCTTCTCGTAAATTGTTTAACTTCTCGTTTGAACATTGGCCCTATATATATATATATATATATATAATATATATATATATATATATATAACTATAACACAAAGAGTTCAAACGATAATACACCATTTTATTATAGTTAATCACATGCGAGAACACCTCTTGGTGTGATGTGGTCGCTAACCATGTCCTCTCACGTGTATTAGCACATTTGATAAAAGTATTCTTGCATTTTCATAAACTGAAAATGTTTTGTTCGAACTTTATACACACACACACACACACACACACATATATATATATAGCGATCAAATGAAAACCACCATCATTTATAAAAACATACAAATCATCCTCATACGTCGATTTCATTGTTTAATCTTATGAAATTTTTTCATGAAATTGTTTAATCTTGTGAAATTGTTTCATATAATACTTTTTTTGATGAATTTGTTTCATATATGGTTATGAAATTGTTTCATATAATACTTTTTTTGATGAATTTGTTTCATATACGGTTATGAAATTTTAATGAATTTGTTTCATGTATTTCTCTAAAATTAAAATAATGAAGATGATAATATCCATGATTAACACCATCCACAATAAAAATGGTTAATCAATATCTCATAATTACAAAAAAATGAACAAAATGAAAAATTATTATTGATTGAATGAGGTTTTCACGGTTTCTACAAATTGAGTGGTTTTTATTTGAACGCTCCCCTATATATTTATATATGTATATAGAGGTTGGTTATTATACAACCCTTGACATTTGTGCAACCAATACAACTCAATCTCAACCGTCCATTTCATTTGATGAATATGTGATTTCATAGAAGTTTTGATTGTTTCCTAATATAAAGTATTAATCATAATTAATGAACTCTATTCATATTCCATAAATATTCAAATCATAATAAATGAACTCCCATCATTTCTATAAAGATCTCAATTAATTGGGTTGCAAGGGTTATACAAATACACAAGGTTGTAAAAGAAATATACCCTATATATATATATATATATATATATATATATATATATCTTGAGAAAATATTAAATGAGCGTTGAAGATGTGTTTATATTTCATTAAATTTTCCTTCTTGTTAAAAAAACTACCAAATTTCTAAATTCTAGAATACATGTAACGAGGGATAATTTGATAATGTTGAAGATTCAAACTTCATCTACTACGAGAGAAAACATGTTTTCCAAAGAAGATAATTCTTTCCTCAAAAAGGCTCCAAATAATCTACATTTGACAAAAACTCTTAAAAACCATTTTTTTATGTGTAAAGTACTATTTATTAATACATATTACTTAAAACTCAAAAATTCAAGTAGATTGTGCGTAAGTACAACTTATTAAAGCTCCATATCTGAATTCGTGTAACTAACTGTAGATAAACATAATCAAATACATGATAAACATCTCATTTTAAATATAAAAAAATCTAAAATATAATTAGGATAATTATTGAGTTCTAACAGAATATTTAATTATTATCTTTATAAAAAAATATATTATTAAACCTAAATTAAATTACTTTGTTACGTTTAATTAAATTATAATAAAAATTTTGAATTAAAAAAACATACAAACAAAGACTTTTAAATAGTTAATTTGATACTAATATTGATATATTTTTTTGCAAATTTTATATGATATTTTCAAATTTATATTTTGTTCAAAAATAAAAACATTATCGCTTTCTCAAAACACATAAAATCGTATTATTCGACATAGACAAAAAAATTAAACGAAACATTGAAATCGAAATGTATCTCGATGCATTGCACGAGTACCCTTCTAGTCATCTAAAAATGCTTTTAATCCAAAATCTAATAAATCCACTATTTAATCATATCATCAACATAAAGGATGAACACAATACGACTGATTTTCACCCACAAAAATCATTCACGGAAATTTCCGTTCGTAACAGAAAATACCAACGGTTCAGTAGAAAATCTGATGTTTTTCGTGAAAATACCAATAGATCACCCAGAGAGAATATCTAGGTAATCCATCACTGATTTGAATTACCAACCAACTTTTACACAGTTTTGTGACGAATCACCCTTTAGCRACGGATTTCCCAGGAAAAAGTCCGTAGACAAAAGTCTTTAATTTAGTAGTGATATATTTATTATCAACACTATAAATATGATGTTTTATTGTTTGTTTCTGTAAATTAAGTCTATAAAGCTATTTATTAGGACACAAAAACATTTTGACGTCCTATAAACCCAATTATCTGAAGGATTTGATGTAAATAAGTTTGTACCTACGGAAACRATTATAAATGAATTGAATTGAACCRATCATACGTGCATTAGTCATCCGTCTTTATTGAATTGAACAACGTAATYAGTTGAATGTAACCGATGTTGACATATTTGATGACTTTGTCATTGTGGTACGCTTTTCTTATGTTTTCTTATCGATGAAAATAAGTCATGKTATTTTATGTTCCATTGTTTTCGCTATAAAAACATCACCAAGTTGCATACTTCATGTCATAYGTTTCTCACCATTCCRAAGTTCATCAAAAAACTCAAGTTTCCAACTTTCTCAACGATGACATCTCGTTTGTTTTTATTTGGCCTTCTCGTCGTGAGTTGTTCGCTTGCCATGGCTTCAGATCCGAGCCCTCTGCAGGACTTTTGTGTTGCTGAACCAAAAAGCCGTGGTAAGAAATSATTTTGGGACGTTGAAAATGATCCAACGTTAATGATTTTGAAGATTTGTAGTGTTTGTATGTGCTTATGAGATTTTTGTTTTTGTTATCGCAGTATTCGTGAATGGCGAGGTATGCAAAGATCCAAAGCGTGTGCGAGCAAATGATTTCTTTTTTAGTGGGCTCCACCGTATGGGAGATACATCRAACGCGGTTGGRTCTAACGTGACTSTCGTGACTGTAGCAGAGTTACCAGGACTCAACACTTTTGGTATTTCWATGGCTCGTATTGACTTTGCTCCATGGGGTATTAACCCTCCACACACGCACCCTCGAGCCACTGAAATCTTGACTGTTCTAGAAGGCAATATTGAAGTCGGGTTTGTCACATCTAACACTGAAAACCGTCTCATCACTAAAAAACTTCGAAAGGGTGATGTTTTCGTTTTCCCACAAGGTCTAGTTCATTTCCAAAGGAATGCCGGAAATGATAATGCTCTTGTTATTGCAGCTCTGAGTAGCCAAAATCCAGGTGCAATTACCATTGCGAATGCAGTGTTCGGTTCTGACCCAGATATCGATGAAGATATTCTTGCAAAGGCTTTCCAAGTGGACAAGAAGGTCGTTCGCCAAATTCAATCAAAATTCTAGACCTTGACGCGTTCTTTAAATGTCAGCTTTATTAAACTTATAACATTTAATT